GGGCTCAAGTTATGGAGTAGAAATAATGTGATCCACTTTAGGGGTGGGCAACACAATATCATATTCGATGGCTCCTTGGGCCACAAATGTGAAACTATATTTCTTTATCGTAGAATGACCCCCAGATGCAGTGGCGTAAAACTTAAGCAAAATCATTTTTTCAAAATGAACGCACGGTGCGTATAGGAATACAGATCCATGGGCCGCTGTTTAGTGTCCTTACCTTTCCAGCCAAGGTGCCAGGCACCTGAAGAACAGCGAGGACGCTGAAAGCACACAGGAAGGTGAAGGTGTACAGAGTCATGGTCAAATCCAAGACAGTTAACCTCCAAGAGCCTTAGGTGCGATTTATATAGGCAGGAGCACAGAGCCTTTCTTGTGACAATTGAACACACAATCTCAAGGACATCCTTTTTTAACAAGACAAACATCCTGAACTTGGGATTAAGGAACAGAGAGCATCTTTTGTCCTGTGCCCTTGACAAACATGAGGAAACAGCACTCAAAAATTACAGACCTCTGCCAAGGGGCAACTCCATTTCCCCATAATGTTATAAAAGCAATATTAGCTTGACCCTCATAATATGGTTGCTGGACCACGAAAACCTACTACTGGCATTTGGAGGGATGCTGATATAAAGTACAGATAGATAGAATTCAATTACTGTTGAACCCTTTCAAGCTACTTCATTATCAATTCATCACCTTGTTTGACTGTTTCCTTGCATAGAAAGCCAGTATGTCAGACGGCTTGGCGCTATATTTGTCATAAGTTAGAAAGACATCAATGTGCCAAGAGGTGAGGGCAGAGGGACCAGCTCCATATCACCGTTTCAAACCTTACTCAGTTCACAAACTCTCTCCTGACAGAAATGTTGGATCTTAATCTTGTTTAAATCTGCTATGATGGCCTGAGGAAATGTGAGTTCTGTGAAGGATTTTTAATTGCATAGCTTGGACACTGTTACAAACACTGAAACATTTAGTTTGTGTCCAAGATTCTTTCCAGTTTTTCACTGATACCGATTTGTCTAATTCAATCCAAATGCACCTTAAGTAATCGGTGCCATTGTTTGTAAAGGTCCTGAGAATCTGGTTCAAGTTGCTGACAGATTTGTGTCCCTTTGCCTGGGCTATGTATTGCTCAGTGTTTAAAGGACATCAGAATTGGCCCACTGATGAAATCTTTCATGCAAGAAAGCCCTGTTGTGTCCATGGGTGGATTCAGGAGGTGGCATCGGCCACCACCAGAATCTGATTGGCCACTGCTGGTGCCACCATTGGTGCCACCCCTGGTGCCACTCCTGCCAAAATAACCCTAACCCTATCCCTCCCAGGCTGAGAGTAAATAAAGGAGCGCAGCTAAAGATAGTTAGCTAAAGAAAGCATATACGTGTCTCATTCTTACACAAAACTTGATTTGTTCCTTAATAATGTGTTGTTTATTATTTCATAGAACTAAAGGTTTTAGAAACTTTTGACATATATTTCAAATGTGCCAGCTCTCCGTGGGTCTGTGCCCCAACCTGGCCACCCCTTCCAAAATATTCTAGACCCATGTGCTTGTGGCCCAAACTTCAAATCCAATGTCCATTACCCCTGGTATTTTTGCATATTTAGAGGAAACAGGTGTCATTTTAGACTGGGCCCTCCAGGTGTCTCACTGCCCTCCATGGTTGAACAGTGTAATTTATGAGTGGGCTCCAGCTGGGATTACTAATATTCCTCATATACTTTATATATAATGGGTCTTTTAATGGGTATTTAGATTTCACACTGTCTATGTCGTACCACAGAGAGCAGCTGAAGGAGGCAGAGAGAAAGAGAGAAGGAGTACTGGCGCCTCAAGACCGGAGTGGACTACAGCTGGCCGGCCAGCACGCCTCGCTCCTCCTACAACATCAGCACTGGGGAGAGGCTCAGCCTGGAGGGCTTCTGTTCCAAATCTACTTCTACTTCCAAAGGGTGGAGGCTATTTTTAAATGTACCACTTGTTTTAGCAAGCTGACCAATGGGGAGCAGTTTTCCCAAAGGAGAACCTGGAAACACCCGAGGGGGAGTGCGGTCCTCTCTGGCCAGATGTTTTGCAGATTTTCTATCTTTTAGACCAATTTGTCAATCTAGAAAACTGTACATTATTGCAGCATACTAATCACAGACGTGAAGTTCCAAGGATTAAGCCTTTCCCATATATATATATATATATATTCATATAATCTAACATTCAAACTTATTACATCATATGGTGACCTTCTACATAAAGTTACAGGATCCTATTCCGTGCATGTGTAGAGTGGTTTGAGAAATTGTGGGGGTTAAGACAGTGGCCCTCGGTGCTTTCCCAAACTTGTGTTTCAACTCACATGTTGATCCTTGAGCTCTTTTAGGTGCGAATCATGTCACAGTGATGCTAGTGTTGCCATTTGCTCATAGACTTGTACTCCACTAAATGACTTTAGGTCAGGGCATAATAAAGCAGTATAACAGAATAATACTTGGCACTAGTACTTCATCATGGTCTGAAATGTACTAAAACTATGATACTTATATAACATAGTTACTTTCAG